AACGTCCGGATCAAGGAAGGTGACGAGTGGAAAGCGGCTTCCGGACTAACCGAGGCCTGTTCGAGCCCTTGGTGAGTGTCCCGGCCTGACAAACTCTCCCGCGACGTTCCAAACGATGATGAATGACATTTTCCAGGACCTCATCCCGGAGACGTCATGATCTACCTTGACGACATCTTGATCGCCCATTCCGACCTCCGGAAACACCGGCAGATTGTCCAGGAGGTCTTACGGCGACTCCGGGAGCACAAGTTGTACCTTCGAGCGGAGAAGTGCGACTTTGAAAAATCGTCAATCGAGTACCGGAGTCATCATCTCCCACAACCACGTCGAAATGGACCCCGTCAAGGTCGCAGGCGTCTCCGCTTGGCCGACTCCGGAAAACAAGAAAGACATTCAGCAGTTCCTTGGGTTCTAACTTCTACCGCAGGTTCATTCGGGACTTCTCGACCCTTGCGCGCCCTCTTTTCGTGCTCACCAAGAAGGACCAGCAATGGACTTGGGGCGACGCGGAGGCCTCCGCGTTCCAAGCGATCAAGGACGCGGTCACCTCGGAACCGGTCCTGGCGATTCCGGACGACGCACGGCCTTTCCGACTCGAGGCGGACAGCTCTGATTATGCGACGGGGCGGTTCTTTCACAATCCGCCCCGGACGGGAAGTGGCACCCTGTAGCATTCTATTCCAAAAGCTTAAATGATGTCCAGCGCAACTACGAAATCCACGACAAGGAGATGCTCGCGATCATCCGCGCACTCGAGGAGTATAGACACTTCCTCGAGGGTGCCGCGCATCCCGTCGAGATTTGGACTGACCATAAGAATTTGGAGTACTTCAGGAAGACGCAGCACCTCAACCGGAGACAGGCCCGCTGGTCCCTCTACCTCTCCCGGTTCGACTTCACGCTGCACCACAAGCCCGGTCGCGACATGGGCCGACCTGACGCCCTCTCTCGGAGACCCGACCACGGAATCGATTCCGACAACTCCGACGTCGTCCTTCTGCGGCCCGAGCTCTTCCACGTCCGCGCACTCGAGGGTGTTTCCGTTTCCGGTCCCGGTTCCGAACTTCTTCGCGACATTCGCAATGCCCTCTCCGGTGAGCCTGACCTGGAGGAGCCCGTCGCACTAGCAGCCCGGCAACTCCTAAAGGTCCAAGGTCAAGCTCGAGGCCCCCGCTCCTCACGCTCCGACGAGTGGGCCGTCTCCGGTGGTCTTCTCCACTTTCGTGGGAAGATTGTCGTGCCCAAGGACAAGGACCTCCGGAGGCGCATCATCGAGCTCTGCCATGACACTCGAGTCGCCGGACATGCCGGTCGCTTCAAGACCTTGGAGTTGGTCTCCCGGAACTACTGGTGGCCTCAGATGTCTCGCCATATCGGCCGGTACGTCGCGACCTGCGACTTGTGCTGTCGCACCAAGGCGCTCCGGAGACTGCCCCAACTGCCCCACGGAGAGCTACACCCGACGGAAACACCCCCGGAGCGCTGGCATACCGTCTCCGTCGACTTCATTGTCGAGCTCCCCGAGGCCCATGGGTACGACGCGATCATGGTCGTCGTGGACACCCTTGGGAAGCGAGCCCACTTCTCCGAGTGCCATACCACGGTCGACGCAGTAGGAGCAGCCCGCCTCTACTACCGGAATGTCTGGCGCCATCACGGGACTCCGGAGAAGTACGTCTCCGACCGTGGCTCACAGTTCATCGCGGACTTCACCCGAGAACTCTGGCGTCTAATCGGCATCAAGCCAGCCACGTCCACCGCGTATCATCCGCAAACGGACGGTCAGACAGAGCGCGTCAACCAGGAGTTGGAGCAGTACCTGCGGATCTTCACCAACTATCAGCAGGACGACTGGGATGAGCTGATTCCGGCCGCGGAGTTCGCTTACAACAACCACGTCCACTCATCCACGCAGCAAGTCCCCTTCATGACGGACACGGGACGGCTTCCGCGCATGGGCTTTGAACCCGGAGCCCGTTCCGCTATGGAGTCTGTGAACGAGTTCCGCGACCGAATTGCCACTGGGGTTGCCGAAGCCAAGGCCGCGCTCACTAAGGCCAAGGAAGAGTATAAGCGCTACTACGACCGGAGACGCACTCCGTCTCCGGAGTTCAAGGTTGGCGACCGTGTTTGGCTGGATGCCTCTGACATCAGGACGACTCGCCCCTCGGAGAAGTTCTCCCACCGCCGCCTCGGTCCGTTCAAGATAGTCAGGAGATCAGCAAAGGTGCCTACAAGCTCGACCTCCCTCCGCGCTACTCGAAGCTCCACCCGGTCTTCCCCGTCGTCAAGCTTGAGCTCGCCCAAGACGACCCCTTCGACGGACGCCCCGGCTACGACCAGCCCCTCCGGACCTCGAGGACGGAGTCCCGGAGTGGGAGGTAGAGGAGATCTTGGACGCAAGGGTGAGGTATAAACGGCTGAATTACCGTCAGATGGAAAGGCTACGACGCGTCGCACGACCAGTGGGTCCGCTTCGACCGCGTCTTCGCCCCGGACAAAATCGCGGAGTTCTACCGTAAGTACCCTGGCAAACCACGGCACATCGCCTCCGCAACCTTCGACTCGATTCCGTTCCGGTCTATGCGCCGGGACGCCGCATTCAAAGGGGGGGTGATGTCAGGGGAACCTCCCTTTCGGCCCCTCGGAGACGATCCCGATTCGGTCCGACTCGGTTCCGACTCCGGTGATCGCATCACCGCCTCCGTCAGGCGCATCGCCGCCCCGCCTGGCGATCCCCCTGGGACCTGGCCTGCGACATGGCGCAGGCATACTGCACGGAGCAACGATCAACCTTGGCGCGTCAAGAGCGCAGTATATAGTTCCGCTACCTAGCAGGCGGACCCTTAGAGTTTCTTCTCTTTGGATCCTCCCCTGCTAGGTCAGCCTCACTTGTATTTGCTTACTTCTATTCACTCTTTGGATCCTCCCCTGCTAGGACCTTGATCTCAGGCCTCCGGGGTTGCCCTTACAGTATCCAGCAATGGTTATCCTTAGACCTAGGGAATGACATGAGTTAACTTGAGTATAGGTACCACAGGTGCTACTTGTAGCTATACCTGCACAGCCACCATATCTGTATGCACTTACTGTAGCATTTTATTCAATTCGGCGCCCGAAATCGGTGTGACATCGGCGCCGAAATGAAATTTTCGGCGTCCGGCAGCTCCAAGTGTGACCGCCGAAAATTTTGGGCAGATTTCGGCGTGGCCCGCAGGGCCGCGCCAGCCAAAAATGGTATATCAGCTGAGGGAATTCGGCGTCTAGGCTGTCGAGTGTGACCGCCAAAAAAATTTCGGCATTTTAAGGCCGGTGTGACGCGTGACCGCCGAATTGAATAAAATGCTACAGTATGGGTAAGCCTATATAGATAAACAGTCATATTTGTATATAAAATGATAATAGTAATAATTCAATTGGTTAAGACTAGTGTGAACTTTCTATAAACATACTTGAAAGTCTATGGAAACTCTGAGTTGTAAAGGCAACCCTGGTGACTGGTGTGCCCTCATTCATGTCTGTAAATTGTTTTGCCTCTTTGTATGATGAATGTAGTTCCTTGCCCTATAAGGAGCCCCAAGAGGAGTCCAAAACAAAAGACATCATGATACCCTCTGCTGCCCCTGCTCTGTCTCCAGTTATCCTTCTTTGTCACCTTACCATCTGGGAAAAGAAGCTCCCCAAGTAGTATATCATTGCCACAGCCCTGGGGTGAACTTCCTTGGAGCTAGTCTCAGCTAGAGTCCACCGGTAGTACTGGCCAGATACAGATATGATATGCCATGTGGCATATCATATTATATCCATATTGTATCTTGAACCTCTGAGCCATATCATATTTATATCATATTATATCTGTATTGGCCAATATATTGTGTTCATATTTTGTTCCACATTTTTCTCTCATTTCGATCAAAACCTAAAGTATTTAGGGCTTTGCACTCCTCCAGTGGTTATATAACCCCTCTAAACCTCATAAGTCATATATTGACCTCTAAAGTGCTATAAATAAAATGTCTGATCACTGTTGTGACTGATTTAATTACATCACCAGCTATCACTGTCTTGGCATATTTTGAGGCTAAAATATATCGTGATATGGACTATAGCATATCATATTATATCTGTATCATATTGTACAGCCAAAAAGCATATCATATTCATATTTTGGCCGATATATCCAAAATATATTCTCCATATCGTGTCTATGACTATCCACCAGCAGCATGCTGAAGCTCTCTCTCTCTGGCCTAGTTGATTGTGGTGCCACCTCTGACTTCATTGACACTAATTACATTGCTTGGAATGGCATTCTGGTCTGCACCCTTGCTCAGCTGATTCTGGTGTTGATGACACACTAAACAATATTGGTTTAATTAATCAGATTGTAGACTTGGTCCTACACTACCAGGGGCACTCTGAATGTTTTCAACTGGCTGTTACCTATCTTGGTAAACAGGACCTTATCCTGGGATACTCCTGGCTGCAGAAGCACAACCCAGAGATCAATTGGGAAATCAAGGCACTGGCAGTCAAGATGTCTTCAGCCAGGAGTCCTTTGACATGCTCCTGGACTTGTTCTGGATGCTAAGCCTGCCAACTGCAAGGTGTACCCATCTTGCCCCTCAAGCAACATGAGCTTGACACATTCATCAAGGAAGGGCTGTCAACAGGCAGCCCAATTTGCTCCTCCAAGTATCCAAATTTCAATAGGCTCACCTGATGCCTGTAAAGCATCAGGCTGCCTGATACCCCAGCACATGCCTGCGGTGTGAATGTCCTACTCATCTTGACTCACTTTGTAGCCAGTGTCATGATGCAAACAGGTGGGGAAAACGAGGTCGTCGACCTCTATCACGTTCAAACTCGCACGGTCTATTATGCCTCATACTCATTCTCATTCCCCAAGCCACCGATGAGCGAACTGCTGGTGCAGGCTGTTCGAGCAGAGCCTCAACCTTATTGTCCTTATAATTAGTTACTAGTAGCGTCTTCTGTCATGGTAATTCCAACATGTCCGACCAACTTTCATAAGCATCTGTTTCCTTTTTCACCAACTCGATTTTCTTTCTGGCACCCGCGATTGCGTCCTTTCCCACGGCCCAGCGCATCGGAGGGGACTCGAGTAGCGTAAATCTATAAAACGCTTCGGAAGCGGCAATGGGATCGCCGCGTATGGCAGATTCATCGTCAAACCAGTTTCGAACCCAGCGCGAGGGCAGCTCGGGTTTGCTGTAGGCAGTGGGTGCAGGGAATGTAATGGTCCGCGCTGTGTGAATACCGGTTTTGAAGGCACCGGGCGCGATAATTGATATACCTACGGACGTTGGAACCTTTTGATTTTGAAGAAAAGATAAACAGACCTTGATGTTCCATGATGGGTCAAGTTCCATCGCAAGCGACTCGGTAAGTCCCTCCAAGGCTATGTACAGAAACGTCAAAGGCAATTTGTAGTATAGGGACAGAATTCGCACCGTGTTTGCTGTGTTAGCAAAGAATCAACGATTTGATGGGCAAAGAAAGGCCTTCGTACCTCGCAGCATATATACCACACACAGGCATCCCCACAATCCCAATCCCAGAGCTCACATTCAACAGTCTCCCTCCCTTCACTGGGTTCACGTCGCGGAAGACTCTCATTGCCTCCTTGCTAACATTGAGTGCACCCCAGACATTGACATCGAAAAGGGCCTTTGCCGCATCCTCTGGCACGGCCTCGAGCTCTCCCGACATTGCCAGTCCAGCGCCGTTAAACACAACGTCGACCTGCCCAAATTTTGTGATACCTGCAGCAAACGCGTGGAGTATATCTTGCTGGCTGGTCACATCACATATGACCGCTATGAAGTTAGCACTGGTGGCGGTGGGGAAGGCCAAAGCAGATGGGTTCCGGCAGGCCGCGATAACTTTGTCGTTCCTTTGGAGGACAACTTCGACGAGGGAGTGGCCCAGGCCTGATGAGGCGCCAGTGACTTGAAAGCGCTGTTAAAGTAGCGTACTTGTCGAATGCGACTCACTGAGCCAGACGCGAGAACTTGCCATATCTCGTTGCAGAGGTCGGGGACAAGGTGTGGTTTGCTTATCCATACACACGGTCACAGCCGTCAGAAGCAACAAAGCCCGTCAAGGTCTCAAGGTCTCCCCAATCGCGTTGGACCATAGCACCAGACATGAGAAGTACTTTGGAAGTGCTTATTCGGAAGTCCGCAGGTTACGGCCTTGTAGAATACTTAATCTGCTCATGGTGCGATGGCCTCTGTGGTCCCCAGCAACTATCTCATAGCGCGAGTCAGAATCATTCTAGAAGCTAGAATAGCTTGATGTAGCTCTTCAACGCGTGAAAACATGGCGACGAACCAGAATGGCTGAGGAAAAAAACGAAAACGCGACTGTCACGGTCACTGCTTCGTGACAGTCGGCTCGCTGTCTTCGAGAGCACTTCGAGAGGTGACCTCACGATTTAGAGTGAGTCGCCGCCGGGCTGGGTTGAAATAACTCCAAGGAGCGGATATACGACCCAACTATGGCCTCTCTACTTCGGGGCTACAAGTACGCCCCGTGAAACTGTGCAGTTATTGAACCAAAGACTTTAATCTAGTGCCCTCCTCCTGCGGCGGCCCATGCTGACGCAATGCGTTACCGCTGGCCTCCTCTTTGGCGCAGGCGACATTATCGCCCAGCAAGCTGTGGAAAGGCGGGGAGCGGACCACGATGTACGTCTACTCGTTTGACTTCCCTCAATATCTCTGATTACGCGTCTAGTTTGCAAGGACAGCACGACTGACGTTCTATGGCGGTTTGCGCGACCCTCTTCGTGTGGGTAGTGGATGCTGAACAACTGTGGCTTCAGGCGTAATGTTTGGCCCCGCAATGACCAAGTGGTATCAGCTACTAAACCGGATTCAATTCAAGACACCAACTAAGGCGCTTGTTTACCGTGTGCGTGCATCTACTGTCAAGAAAGCCCTTCAACGGCTAATATAAGCCAATAGGTGTGGTTAGACCAGTGTATTTTAACGCCAGGCAAGGCTTTTAGACCGTTTCAAGAGCATAACTAAGCCCTCAACCAGGAGCGGTAATCGTGTTCTTTGGCTCAATGGCGCTGTTAGAGGGAAAGCCTCATGAGGTGGTACCGAGGATTGGCGCGGTGTGTATTTCAGCTCTTTCGCCTCTTTCCGAGCTCATGGAATGGCAGGGCTACGTCCCGACATTACTGCGCAACTGGTCGGTCTTTGTACCGACACAGGTTATCAATTTCTGGCTCGTCCCGCCGCATTTGCGGTTCGTGGTCGTTAGTGTCGTCAGCTTATTCTGGAGTGCGTACTGTTCGGCGTATGCGTTGTCTGCTGATCAGTGACTACACAGATACATATCTGAGTATCGCGAATTCGAGGGCAAAGGAACAGGCAGAAGAGTATATCGAAGAGAATAAAGTCGCCAAGAAAGTATAGTGAGACTACGACAAAGAAGGAATCCTCTGATGCAGTCCTTCATGGACTTAGAAGGTTCACATCATGATTGTCCATAATCAAGTTGCCCTTAAACTTGGTCTGTACATGGGATATAACCAATCAAATATATCGCAAAACATCCCGTTATCCTGCTCCAGTTTAGCCATTTCCGCCGAAGTCAGTTCCACCACATGACCATGTCATATCTGACTTATCCGACCGGATGAGGGCTCGAAATTGATTTCAGAGTTTGACTGAGCATTGCCAGCGCCGGCAAACTTGAGACTACTCATTTCCAACTTGCCCTCCCAGTCCTTTTGCGGACGTGCCTGGCCGGCAGCGATGCGTAAGATGATGAGGAGTGGCGCTAGTCCGGCCTGCAATCGAAGTTTAAGAGAAAAGAGCTTTTCTATCCGGCGCACCATTTGTGATTGGATGTTTTGAGCATAAATTGCATTGGCGCTCTTGTGTAAGTCAAAAACAACAAAGGTCAGCAACGTCACTGAATAGAGCATCGCTGACTCGACCAAAATTTCTATAATGAAATTGAAGTCTTTCGCGGCCAGCTGTCCGTTCGAGCCTTCAACACCAGGGGTGCGGCGAGTGGCTCGAGCTGCGAGCTGGACGAGAACGATGCGTAGCACGATTAGGAATGTAGTCGTCAGGCTTGTTGCGATGGACAGCGAAAAGTAAATGGTGTTGATTTTGAGGAACTTAGCGGCAGTTTGCTCGACGACGAAGGGTGTGGAAGCCCTCAGAGCGGTGAGCTGATAACGGATTAGAATTCCAGCAAGAACTGTGCATATTTCGTTTCAGTTTCTGGCACTACAATTGAGTCCGCCACCTCACCTGCACCGATGATGGCCGCTATCACAGGAAGCAAAACGACTATTGAACGGCGATTCCACACACACCAACAACGCCAAATCTAAGCAAGTCAATGAATAACAACTTGGAATTTCACTTGGCCGAAGTACTCACAAACATGCAGTCAGCAAGGAAGATGTTCAGAGCAAAGAAAGTCTGAGCCACCACAGCAAGATCGGGGGGCAGATGGGAAAGCGAGAAAGCCAGGCCTGGTCCATTGGGACCCTCATTAGTGTCAATCGCATTGGCCAGCCACCACCAAGTAAGGGTCGCATGAATAGTCGAGCAGGTCCAAGGTATGGCCACAATGGTGGCCTGAAAAATCTTCTTGGTGCCGCGATGGTGGTCTGGAAACAAGCGTTCAATTAGTTCATAGTCAATCCTCCGAGCCAAGAGTTAGCACAAATGAGACCCAGAGTGACAATGACGATGGCAGAATATAGTCCTGCATGCGACAGGTCGAATTAAACAAGATCTAGGCTTTTTTGTATTAGGCTTGCCATGAAACCATAGTTCAACTAGAGTTGAGTTGGAAGAAAGTAGAGTCATCCGTAGTTGATACACGAGAACGAGAACTTGAAAGAGGACGGCTGCGACAAGAGAGGGACGATGAGCATTTGTTAGTAACACGAGCCTTTTATTTAATCCAAAAGGCGTAGGTTGATCGTGATACACGGTCCGACTGCCAGTGCGGAAATCATTTATGTATCACATCCAGGAGGCCCGAAGCACGAATAGCGCGATATGACCGCCTTCGTGGTACGATCAGTACTCGCACAACTATACTTGTTCAGTGTTCACAATGCAGCATCTGAACGGTAATCAAAATTGAACCTCCAAAAATAATGTTCCAACACATCGAGGAAACCCGCTTTTGGGAGGCATAGGCACGCCGCAATACCACCCTTCGTGAAATGATGATGTAGCGAATTCGAACGGAACAGAACATCTTTCAGGGTTGAATGTTGTCTTCTTCCGTGTTGCGGTCTGAGGGAAGGCGGTTCAGAAAGCGCCTTAAACGCGATCATCCTTCTCGAGGCTGTGGATTTGTGCAGCATGAAAAGAGAATGGCCGCATAGACGAGCAGCACAGACCTTAACCTCCATGTCTGCGCGTGTTTGGCTTGGTTTGTCTTTATTGTGGAAGCCAGTGGTTACTCAAACATAAAATAGTGACTGGAGCATCTTCTGGATTTGGGCTGGATGTGACGAAAGTTGCTTTGCGCATGAAAGAGAAAGTTGTCGCCGTCTCTCGCAACCCAGACGACTTGAGAAAGCTGGTAGAAGCCAACCCAGATGACCTGATTGCCATTGGGTGTGACGTGACGGTCGAAGAAGATGTGATCACCGCTTTTGCTTCAGGCGTCGAGAAATTCGGGCAGATCGATGTTGTGTTCAACAACGCCGGCACTGCGATACTCGGCGAGCTGGAAGCTGTTCCAAATAAAGCGGCTCGTGCCCTTTTCGAAGTCAACTTCTGGGGTGCGTTGAGCGTCAGCAAAGAGGCGGTGAGAGTCTTTCGGGAAGTCAACCCCGCTGGTGCAGGTGGTAGACTTCTCAACATGAGCTCTGGGGTCGGATTCTCTGCGATGCCTCTCTCCGGTATATATGCTGCAAGGTAAGATTATTCTACCACATCAACTAAACGAGCTACTCATCCACTTCACATAGTAAACATGGCAAGTGCGCCGAGCTGCAGTATGCAAACGATATTAATTCAACCATATAGCGCTTGAAGGGCTAACAGAAGCACTCGCCGGTGAAGTCGACCCTGCCTGGAATATCAAGGTTCTGAGATCGCCGCTTGTGCATTGCGATGGTTCTCATGACAGACAGATTTCCGTTATTGGGCCCGGTGCGTTCAAGACGGGCATGCATGGTGATCGTACGCTCAAGTTCCCTGCGCCATCGGCCTATGATAAAGAAGGACTTCCGTCGCGCTTCGTTCGTGAGTGGTTTGAAGACGGAAGTGGCATCCGCGGTAACCCAGCAGCGGCTGCTGAGACGATATTCAAGTTCTCTCAACTGGAAACACCCCCCAAGCGTTGGGCTGTTGGGAAAGACGCAATTGGTGGGGTGAGAATCAAGATAGCCGCTGTTTCAGAGGAGACCACCGCATTCGAGAGCTGGTCGGATGGCCTGGAGCTGCCAATCAAGCCTGATAATGTTGGCCCGAAGTAAAGATTGGTATTTTTGTTCACCTCTGTTTATCTTGAAGTACAAGGATAACTTTCTCGATCAGAATTGCTACTGTTAAAAATGATATTCAGGTCGATCCTCCCGCGAACCAAGGGCAGTGTGCTGACGATTTCCTTCCATCCGGCTACGTGGTATAAGCTCCTTTCGTCCTTCTTGTTGAGATCTTGAGGTGCAGGCAATGATGGCCCAGAATACAATGACGGGAGAAACATCCCCAAGAGAAAGCTTTTCCTATCCGGGTTCTACCTGAGATAGAGCTTCCGGGACAGCTTTGCAGTTTTGCGGAGCATAAAAGAGACTTTGATATCCCTTGGCCCGGATGCTTCAAGTTGACCCACTGCTAGTTGAAGTTGGACGATGATGCTCCTCCACTCTCTGATCATTCTTGCCACTTTGTTCACGCTGCCCTCCGGCTGCATTGCCGTTACCAGTGAGTATATGCCCTCTTTATACGACAGTAGTTTTATTGACTCTACTGGCATTAATTCACAGCAAACAACAAACCTACTCGTACCTGCAGCTCAACAATTGGCCTTTGTTTCAACCAAGTCTCCGTAGAGCCCCATTTCTATTCCAAGTACTAGTATCGACATAACGAATCCTTCTAGGATCCAGCAACTCAGATGTCCGTAGGCCTTGTGCTCCCACCATCCGGCTCTTTTAACCGCGAGTTCATCGCCCAAGTCACTATTCCGTTGCCTTATGGGGCAGCCGGTTTTTCTCTAGTGGATACTCAGGGCACTGGCAGTACTAGTGCAAACGACCAAAAGGCCGATGAATTTTTCGGAACTGAGTTTGTGTCGCTTCATACTCGGGCGCCTCCAAATAACGAGTTTCTCAGGCCGGTCATGCTGGAATGGTTTCTTGCTGCTACTCAGTAAGTGCGGAACCTACGAAATGCTAACGAGTACATGGCCAATAACAATCCATCTAGACACACGGCGGCGGGAGCTGTATCGGTTAATGTACTACTCGTTCAGCGATCTATGCCGAGGTAAACATGCATATGCAGATATGTGTTTTAGGATAATGGCTCATCTAAATCACAGTCCAGACAAGGCACAGCTCGTTCCGATGGTCTCCGACGCTAACATCACTGTGTCGCCACTCTCCGCATATACTGCGACAAATGCCACGTTCATCTACAGGTGCAAAAAATGCTTCAACATGGACAGTTCTGGCTATTTGTTACTTTTCCGGACCGATGCATCTCCCATGTACCCGGCACCTGGTGCGTACAATGCCAGCTTCACTACGAAAGGTGCTACCATCACTCGGATTGACCTGGCCAACATAAGCGAGTTCGAGAGCAGAGACTACGCTAGCTTCTTGTCAGCTGCGTCGTTGGAATGAAAATCTCGGTCGACTAGTTATAGTTCACCAAGAGGATGTCATAAATTGAAAAAACTGTGTTCTATTGCCACTCGTTTCAATAATGGATTCAGTTGTCAGAAAGGAACACGCTAAAATAACCGGCCATCTCGGCGGAGTGCGTAAGAGGTTCCCGAGTCATGTGCCTACCGTCGGCCCGTCGCATCATACTGTTCTTAAAATGGCAGTTCAGTTGCCTAATTCGGTCGGGCTTTGTTATCGACACTACCAATCACAATCTCAGGTTTTTGTAACAGAGCACTTGATAGTCCTACAAAGGTCAGTAGTTGTATTTGCTGTTGCCTTCCATACTTACTGCCGACCGCATGTTATCACCCTTCGAGACGCCTAGAGGAATAAGTTATCAGTCCACTTTGCGCGTATAACATACAGTATAAGTACCAAACTGTCCGTCCACCACAGATGTCACATGTGCTATGCCATTTGCCGCTCTGAAGCGTGCGATATGCATTGTGGTTGGCGCTCTAGTTGTTTCCTGGTTCCAGCCAGGCACTGGGTCAAGTGCTGCCGCGTTAAACCGCCCATGTTGCGGGATCCACTCCAACTGAGACGGGTCCCCAACAAGGGCCCAGAACTTGAGATTGTGTTCAGCCTGGGCTTGGCCAAAGTCTTCGTTTCAATAATGTTTCTCAGTGATTTTACATTCCGGGTGTTCACAGGCAAACTCACCGGCAATTTCCCCATCGTAAACGTCATCGATAAACCATAGAGCCCTATTGACCTGCCACCGCGCAACATATATCCTGACCCCATTTTCCTTGATAGCTGCCTCGATGGGCGGCGCATGAAGGTTGTCGGGGTCAAAACGGCCGTAGATGGGCTCCCAATGACATGTCTATCAAACACACTTTAGGGTTTTCCAAATCTGAGGGGCAAAAAAGGACAGTCACCAGATGGCGCATTCGTCTTGCCAGGACGCCATACTTTTGTCTCTGATCCTGGAGTTGGCCCTCCAGTTCGTTCACCTTGAGGAGAAGAGACTTCTCTACTATGTCGTCCCGCTCCTCCATGCGATGCATCCGGTTGGTTAGGTCCATCATCCAGTCATCCATCCCCTTCAACCGGTTCGTCAACTCCCTGGCTGTCTCAAGCCGAATATCCTTGGCAAGCATCTCCGATGTGGCACCCATTATCTCCTCTTTCAGTGCTTCCAGTTCATGTTGACGGTTCTCTGTAGAGGACTTGAGCTCCGCTTCAAAATGAGCGCTAAGCCCTGCAAAGTTTCTCGCCACGTCCTCCCTCAACATCTGCATGTCGGTCTCTGTGGCGGGCTCGCTGGCATCGACTTTCGAACTCGGTTCTTGATCAGCGCCTACGTCGTCTTGGGGATGCTGCTCTTCGGCATCGAATGTCCACATCTGATATGGACTCTGAGTATGCTCTTTGGCAATAACCTGATTGTGATCAAATTTCATTTAGGTATGCTTCAAGTAATGCATACTGGAGTCAGAGAAGAATCAGGTTTCATCGACCCTATCACATCGGCGGCCAACGCATAACGTAGGTTGACGGAGGCATGAATACTGGGAGGGGTTCAGAGGACCCGGGAAGCTCCACCAAAGGGTGATTCAAAAATTTGGGTTTTTGAGGCCGAAAAATCGCGATTTCCTTGTCCAAAAAATGGGTTTTTGAGACAAAAATTCTGAAAACCTTCTTCAAAATATGGGTTTTTTAGGCCCTGGGAAGGTTGACAGAAAAGTTTTAGACTGACATGTGCACCAGTGTTTGACTGAGTACCAGATGCCTTTTGGGAGGGAAATCACCCCAAAGAGTGTTAGTTCAAAGGTAAAAGCGGCGCAAGACATTTTTTGACACCTGCAAGAATTACCATTTTTAGCAAGTGTCACACGGTGACATGTCAGGATCCTTCTTCAAAAATGGGTTTTTGGCGTCCAAAAAAATGGGTTTTTGAGGCCAAAATCCGGAAATTTTTTGAATCACCCTTTGGTGGAGCTTCCCGGGTCCTGGGTTCAGCGACAAGCACATCCGTAGGTGTTGAAAAATAACATACTGGTGCATATCCGAACGCTCACCAGACTTGCTCTTGGTGGGATTAATCCACCAATAGTAAGGCTCAGCGAGAGCCGATATACGACCTTTACCGTCATCTTCAGCAGACATAGCGAGGTACCGACCAGTTTCGACATTTTTGATTGAATAGCCCGCATTTGTTGCTGCGACCGTCCACTAAAATTTAGTCAGTTGAACCAAGTTGCAAAAGTAGAGAAAAATAGTCCACTTTCTCCGCATTTCCACTAATCTTCTTCTGCAACAAGACAGAAGTACTGATATTCTGAGAGTCATGGGCGGTGAGTGTGACACCTGGGATTGAGACGGGGATGATGGAGTATGTCCCGTCAGGAATGATGTTATACGGGACTGGTGCTGCAAGGCCTGTGTCGAAAATGTCCTTCTCCCGCTCGCATGCGATTTGGAATATATAGCCCCAGGCTTTAATTCCGCCTTTTGCTGCGATGTTTTCATTGATGAATTCTAGCGGATGTCAAAGTGAGAGAGTTGCTGATGATGCTTCAGACATTCTTACTGATGTATTTGTCGACAGAAGAAGAGTCATAGTTCACCTCAGTCCAAGCGGAATGGTAAACGACATCTGGTTTCATTGATTGGGAAAGAAAGTTTCATGTTTATGCGTACTTTTGACTGTCTGTGGATCCTTCATGAGACGTTCGGCGATCTTCCAATAGCACTGATGAGTTTGAAGGTGAGAAAGATAAGAAGAACATGGTACATGTCGCACCAATACGCAAGGTAGCAAAACAACATAGTACCTATGTACATAGGACGCATTAGATGCTTTGAACAGCCCGAACGAGATTGAAAGACTGACCCAAGTACGGGATCCTTGTTTCGGAGACAGTCTGTGTAGAAGTTCTGGGTTGTCTCCACTTGGACGCTTGGTTGAGTGGCCTTCATTGTCTCGTCCGTGATACCGAGCAGCGTTGTACACACATCCTCCAAATTTTTGACATATTCCATGGAGGATTTATGACGAAACCCGAAAGCTTCGACCTGTGCGTAGTCAGAACTGGCCCCGGATATCATCTTTAGGCGAGCGCAGGTTTGAAGATACAGTCTATCTTGCTGTAGGAATATGTTAGCGCTGAATAGAGCGAAACGAACGACCTACCAACATGTAGTACCTGAAACCGTCCAAGGATGCGGTACCGTTCCCCATAGCGGTTGGGAAGGCATGATCGATGACTCGGTCATACGCTACTTTATATCTCTCCAGCAATTGTGCAACAAGATCCTCTGAGATTTTCGGTTGTGCTTGGTAAGAAGGGACTACGGGGGCAGAAGTCTGAGTAGCAGGAGAAGGCGATGTTGTGTTGGCCGTTGGCTGGGGGAATGGACTCGGAGTCGACGAAGCCGGTGCGAGCGGCCCAGGCCAAGGAGAGCCAGAAACAACGGCACGATTGACTTGATTGATCGTTGACGCCAGCCACCCACCTGAAGCCGTTTCCCTTGAAAAAGTTCAGTATTTCAATTCGAATACTGGATCGCGTCATACCAGGGGAGTTGTATTGGTTGATTGATAGTACTTCTCTTCCGGGGTGTAGGTCGCCATTCAGGGCGGAAAGTCAGCGAGCTGCCAGGTCTGGAATGCCTCTGAGTAACGAGACCAATTCAAAGATTCGAGTGGACGCACGCGGCAGCATCGGCTTCAGCTGACAAGAGAGCAGCGTCGGCAATGGAAAACAAGGTTTCGTCCAAGTTGACTGCGGGCTGGGCCATGATAAGAGAGCTGTGGAATGTGACTATTTCTGGAGGGGCTTTGATATTTTGTGTTTAGACTCCCTTGGGACGCTAAGCAAGTCAGTCTTTATTCCTTCCGTTGCAGCCACTCGATGAGATATCGATAAGGTTCTCGTTCATGGGACATGCATGGCGTGGCTTCAACGAGGACAACAGGTGTTCATATGATTCGGTGAACATTCAACGGCGCTCCACATATAGATTTGGCTTCAAGGTCGATGACTTCGATGCAAGAGAAGCCAGAAAGGCTGAGAAAGCCGGTCTCTCAGTCTCGAAATTGCCGCTTGTGGCCGTTTGGTGAAGTGCCTGCCATCTATCACCCTTACAGCTGGAATTCAGGACGCTTGGGCAGCGCCGGAGATAAGTAATATGTCGTGTTGCAGAAGGGCACAGAGACCTCGAGGATAAAAGGTCTGAACAAGCCGGGGAGTACAAGAAAAAATATAACGGCACGTGCCATCGTGACAATTTCTTGCCACCTCTTGCCACAGTCTCAGTAAGTCGACCTGAAGATGTTCAAGAGCGGCGGGATAGCCCTCTTACACACGAACCTCACTGCCAACCCGCCCAATTATGGCCCCCCTATGACCCCCATGCTTTATGCTCGACAAATCAACTCGCGGGATGTCAGCGAATCAGACGCTGCTCAATCATACACACGGAAACCAATACATCAACCCCCACAGGACAGTAAATGACACTCAACCCACCCCGGCCCGTGCTCTTCGAGCACCGCGCCTTAGTAGCATACGCATACTTGTACGTGGTATATAAATGTGATTCAAAAAAAAAAAAAGTCAGTCAGTGAGATCGACAGTCTTACTATCAACTCTCCACATTCTTTCTGGAGACTGCTAGCTTGAGCTAGAACAGCTCTAGCTAGGTTGTGGAGACACCTCCAGCTGCATTCATGAGGCAACAGCAGTGGCATTGTCAAGCTAGCTAGGGCTGTACTGAGTAGACCACTGTAGATGAGTTGTCTGTTCACCTATAGCTGTATTCTTCAAAGCAGCCCAGTCATTTCTTCTTAAGCAACTGGGGCTGGCCCTCCAAGGCAACTCCAGCTGCTCACTCAGACAGCCTGTAGCTGGTTTCTCAAGTCAACCTATGGTCCTACTACTCAAGGCAAACCTAGTTGTTTGTCCCAGACCACCAGAGCTGTTCAAGTCAAGACAGCTTAAGGTGTTTGCTTAAGGTATACAGGGCTGCTCTGGCCATACAGCTGGGGCTGTCATCAGAATACAGCTGATGCTGATCTCACATCTGTGACTAGGGCTTTGTTCTAAGAAGGCCTGATGATGCATTCACGGTCAGGCATGGGTGTGACGTTAGATTTGTGGGCGCGTTTCTCTGTTCTCCGTTTTCTGTATCAACAATACAGTTGTGACATCAGTCACTTTTCCTCGTTTCCTCCTTCATGACTGAGGAGGAGAGCATCCCTTCTGTTGGCTCCCTCTGCTCCAAATGCCAGATTGGGACTATTCTTCCTTCCAAGAAGATAAGGAACTCCTCTGTGGTTGGTCTTAATGGCCAGTACTTTTCCAAGGGAAGTTGCTTACCTATCTGTTTCCCAAACCTCACCTCCTCTACAGTGCTCTTTATGTTGGCCTGCTCAAGGGTGCCTACCCAAAGGCATTCCCAGTGAGGCGCGTTCTCGCAGATGTGCTGTCTATTTTCTTCTTGGAGCTGACTCAGAGACAAATGCGCGGGCAAGTGATATCTCTTCCTTCATTTGCTGAGAGCTAAAAATTCTTCCTAGCCTCCTGGGGAGGTTTACTGTCTTGAAACGGCATTCTGCGGTGGGCAGGGGCTCCGTAGCGACTCATGCTCTCACTTTATCTGTCGAGAGTGCTGTCTCAATCTCAAGACACGCCATCCCGAGCAAGGCTGCATTTTTGCTGATCATTGGCGTAAGAATTATCTCTGTTATGGCTAGTACTAATGCCTGCTTCTCAGCTGTACAAAATTTAAACTCACCATCAAGCGCGTCCACCATTTCCACTGTGTCCACACCCTCTGGGGCCTCTGCGTCACCAATCCAGTCTGCGCAAACCACACCTACACCCGCGTCACGTTATAGGCGCTCGGTACGGTAATAACCTCTCCAACAACCTTCTTTAAAATGGCTTCCCCCCATCATTTGCTCAAAATTCTCAGCTTGGAGGTACACAGACTCCCCGCCATCTCAGTCGACCAGAGATTGGACGTCAACTAGAAAGAGCTATTACCATTGAGTGGTGTTCAGTGCGTATTCCCTCTGGCTTTCAAACTACCCATCCACTCAGCTTCTCAATAGGCCCCTGATCAAAAGCCGAAATCTTGCAAGATTCCCGCTGACGCGCGCTCCCTCTCTTTCTTCCCTGTCAGAGCTCAGAGCTCATCCAGTTCACCCAAAAAAGCGCCGAACAACTCCGCATTTACTGTGTTCCCATGGACGGACACTGGCAGGCCCAAGCCTTGGCTCTGACCAACGTACAAGCAGGTGACCACATTCTTCTAGGTCCTATGGAGCTAGCGGATGAGGTCTGTCCTTTCGCCACCCAGAAAAGGCCCCGCGCGCCAGTAGCGACTCGTCTCCTATTAAACGTGTCAAGCTTGAGTGAGTTGCATCTAAATCCCTATGCCTACTCCAATCATATCTAGATTCCACGACACGGCTATGACATCAACTCAGACCAAAACACCTCCACCCGCCATTATAGATCTGACCGATGATGACAACCCATTTTTAATAAAGTAAGATTAAACGCCAATTCTTCAACGAGGACTGAGCAGCTACCATAGTAGCCCTGCTGTCAGTACGCCAGTCACGGGGATCAAAAGGTGCGACAGGGAACTTTACGTTGACGCATCTCACGCCTTTGTCAGAGAGGCACTTCCTATGTTCCCACCGTTGTACACATGTGAAGTGGACAAGTTATTTCTGGAGCATAGTCGGTATGTGGCTGGGGGGGACAAGGTGCCAGAGGCTTTCAAAAAGGTGTTTTCCACTCAGTATGTGAATGCGAGCTGGTATGCACACTCAAGTCTTTGGAAAAGTTTACATGATGGGAAAGCACGGGCGGATATTCTGGATATGTACCAGCAGACACTGAATGCGGGAGCAACGGAGAAGGGACACTGGTCCCTTGTGCGCGACGTAGCAAAAAGGAAATAATCTTATCTTATTTATTAGTTTAATTTTTTTATTTATTATCAAAAAGCTTAACGGGTCTCCGCAGTTTTGCTACCGTTTTTTCTTCAGACCACCATCATGGAGAGTAACACTCGCTCTGAAATGAAGATTCCCTCTGCCCTTCTTGACCGGCTCAACCGCGAAAGTCAGCAGCGCCAAACCCCTGATGGTGATCGTGCACGGCGTCTCCTGTCATCGCTTGCCCAGAGCCGCAGCATCCGTGACCGTTCTTTACGCAACCAGCCCGACAAAATTGTTCAGACTCTCCGACACAAGGCAGTACAGTTCCGACTTCATTTTGTCAAAGCCTTGCAAGAACCCGTGGGACTGGATGAGGTGGAAAAGGCTTTACGACAGCTCATTCGACTGTCCTATCTGGAGATCAGTGTACGTGTTCGTTTATTAATTGTTCCCCTTCTTCTCACATTCAGCAGGCTCTTCCAAATGCAAACCTCATAGAATCTGAAGGCGTTGAAGTGCCCAACAGTCCCGACACTCCTGATGATCCCAACGTGATACAAGACCCACCCCAACCACCTCAGAACGTTATCCCTCAGCACACCTCCTGTGCGTTTGCCTGCTCATTCACCGAATCTTACTTACATGACATCCAGTTGTTATGACCGTAGCATTGCGTGACGTCGCTAGCCAGTTCAATATAGTCCAACGCAATCAGAAGACTTTTGAACTTACCACGGCTCAGCTGTTCCCGGACGTCAAAGAATTGCCCCTTCCACCTATCGTTGAGATTCCTATCCAAGGTGTTGTTCATCTGCTCCGCAACTTCTTGGAAGAAGAGAGTCTGGCCCTGTCCGGTAGGATAAAATTTGGATGATAGACTAAGATTAACCTGATTTATCAGACACCTATACTCTTACCATTCACGAACAACGCATGGGTACTGAATTCAAAGCTGGTTCCAATGCCTGGGACACCGACAACGTTGGATACAAATACTTGGTCGGGCGCTATCTTCCGCTGCGCGAACACATGCCCGTCTGGCTGTGTAGGATCGACGCGTGCCCATGAGGAGAACATCAAGATTTCTAAAATCGTCTTCTCGGAGGATGATGTTGACGACATTGGCTCCCTCACCTGGTGGGCACAAGAAAACCCTGTACTTCATGCGGTCAGCATTCCCAGTCAAGACAATAAGCCAACCTATGAATTCAAACTGCTTCTTGCCCGCCAGCAGTCCCATGGCCCAGCTACAGTCGCCACATCATCCGGTCCTAAAGAGCGCAAAGTCTTGCATCGTAATGAGCAGCCCACTCGAGCTGCCATCGTCAAGGCCTATGCTAGCGCGCATGACCAGATCAAGAAATTTAGTGGAGATCGGATTTTTATGGCGATGAAGGGGCCTAGCAGGGCTGGAGTTGGTGCTTCTGTTGACCAGTTAGTTGAGTGGGCACCCTACATGAACAACATTTATCTTAGTGTCATGGATAACCAAGGAAGTAAGTGAATCTGACCTAGTTCAAAGCCAAAAGACTGACTGGCTTCAGAAGTTTACACTCGGACGACTTGGTCTAAGTCTGTCCTTCGCCGCTCACCCGAATGGATTCGCCATATGGTTCGTCTCGGTGGACACATTCGTCGTTTCAAACACGAAGGAGAAAGAGGAAGCGCGGCCTTCGAAAAATATCAGCTTGCTGCGGTCAAAGCGGCATTGAAAGGCAAACAGAACGCCTCGGTCAATCCCAAGACGTTGTGGGAGCATGTTAAGATGGTTGAGGAGAAGAGACAAAAGGCCATTGCCGAATTGATTGTTACTAGCGAAGAAGACAATAGCGAAGAGGATAGT